GGAGTAGCACCCCTCCTCTTGGTCACCTGAGCGTTTTGGCGGGAAAGTGCCAGAGGGAGGAGGGGTGCTCCTAGTCTATTAGAAAGCTTGGAAAACTTTTCCGTGGCTGGCCTGCGACTGCGCAGTCCCATGTGTGCCTGTAAAGAAGACCAATCGATGAACAGTGGTTACAGCTAAGTGCAACTTCGTTTTCCCCACCCAGTCAGGTTTGTGATGGCTTCTCCAAGCTGCCCCCAGGATCAGTCTGGCTTTTTTCTTCTCAGGTCTATTGGACCCGAAAAAAATTAGGATTTCTGAACAATCCCAGATCTGAATATTGTACTGGCAGTGGGATCTGGGATTTTACCAAAATCTTGAAAATTTTTCGATAGATCTGAACCAATAGATCTGAACCAAAAAATACTGATAAAAAAATATTGCACACCCCTAAACTTTACTGATATTTAAGCTCTTCTTCAGAGGCCTGTTCTGTGTTCCTCCCACATTCAGAAGTAAGGAGGATGTGTTCCAGGAATTGACCTCTGTGACAATGCACTGTCTTTGGAATCCTTTCCCCAGAGTAATGTGCCTGTTGCAAAACCTGATGCATTTTATCCATCTGGCAAGACAATGTCATTTTCTCCAGTGTTAAGTTATTCATTTCTTTTTTTTTTATTTTTATTTTTAATGGTTTTATTGCCCTATGTTATCTCTGCTGGTTTTTATGATAGTCATATTTCTGTCTTCTCTCTTTTTATTGCTGATTTCATTGAAACTTTCATAGTAGGTTTTATTGGGTTGGATGCTGCAAGCCAGAAACATGAGTTGCTCCTGATGGTAGCACTTTCTTCATAGTCTCCCATTTTCAGCAGCCACCTAAGACTCCCAAAAAAACCAATATTGATGGCTGAGGGAGCCTTCTGAACAAACCGATAGAAGGCATTAGGAGGCTTCAGAGAGTAGAGGGAAGCCGACCCCATCTCTCTTCTTTTGCTTCCAGGCAAAGCATGAGAGATCACAGGAGAAGCTGATTATGTGAGGTGTGGCAACGGACGGTTTTTTCAGGATGCTCCTGAGACGCCCGATCCTCTTTTCATTCTTTTTGAAGCTCCCTGACCTTCCCAGTCTGGGGGAGCTTCGTCTGCTCTCTCGGAGGGAGAGCAGATAGCAAGAAGCTTGTTTTCGGCCACACACACACACATATGAGAAGTTTGTGGGAGAGGCCGTTTTTGCCTCGATGCAGGAGTAATCGATGGAGCAAAAACACGGCTCGCCATTTTTTGCACAGCTGCAGCCAGCCTTTTTAATTTAATTTGGATTTGCAGCATACACGGTAACACAGAGAAGGCAACTTGGTGAGAACGCGTACTTCTAACTTTAAAATAGAAAAGACCTGTGGAAAAATTACCCCAATTCTGTCTGCTCAAAACAGAGATGAATAGTGGCCAGAGGATGAATGGGAGCTGAGTGAATGTTGCTATGTTTTTGCTTCTTCAGGGAAATTTTTGTTTTATCTCTCTGACAAGGACTTATAATGGATAGAAGAAATTTGTTTGGTAACTTGGAGGACTATTAGAACGTGCATAAATTAGACTGAACTATGTTGTAAAAATGGCGTCTACAGAGCGAGAGGAGGAGGAAATTGATGAAAACATGGAGGTGGGAGAACTGACTGTTGAGCAATTTCTGATAATTTTGAGGGAAGAAATACAGAAGGGTTTTAAGGAAGCTTGTGCAAAAGTATTGGAAAAATCACATAACTCACGGTTGGAAATAAAGAACGAGGAAGAGACAAGACAGCGTATTCAGAGTGTTGAGGAGAATTTGGATGTTTATCAAGTGAAAGTGTGTGTTGAGACCCAGCCCCTGCCTATTAAAAGAGTGGAAAAATTACCAACAAGACTGTCTTATTCAAAGATGGACTTATCAAAAAGGAATGTGCAAAGACTCTTGGAAACTTGGGAAAAAAGAATAAAACAACGTGCATGGAAATTTAAAATGGACAATAAAATTTAAAATGGACAATAAAATACTGAAGTTAGAGCTGCTGAAAGTTAAAGAAGGGAGGCTAGAATTAAATTTTCACACATTTAAAGAGAAAAGACATGTTGACATGCTGGTACAAAAAAGCAAAATGCAGATACATAGGGAAAAATTAAGCTATATGAAGGGGGGTGAAATGTTTTTCTGATACATGCTTGGCTGGAAAAATGACTCTAAAACCTCTGTTAAGTAGATACTGAATATAAAGAATAAGTCTGTGATAAGTTTTTTAAAAAATAAAAATTTCCCTTTAGTGGTAAACAGTTTAATATAGACTAGGTAAGAAAGAAAATTTCTTTTCTTTTCTTTCTTTCTTTTTTTGTTCCGTATGGATAAATGCCCATCTGGGAATAATTCGATGTAATTAGTAGGATATCATATTACAGTGCCGAAAGTTATGAAAAATCCGCCTAAAGAGAACAAGGTCAAATCTTAAATTAAGACTATTAAAAATAACTTTAATGAAGGCAGCCATAGCCCTTGCAAGGGAGCAATTAAGCTCAGCATGCAGAGATAAAAATCCCTGTTTATTCTGGAATATGGTCTCTACTTGTACTACTAGACCTCCCTCAGTGTGCAGTAGTACAATTCTCCCTGAAACTTGGGGAAATTATTTCGAGCAGCTCTACCAAGGTCAAGATGAGGCTGCTGCAGAGGACCTGGATATAGCTACCTTACCCTCTTGGTCCCCTGTGCATCCTCAAGAAATTAAGAACCTCATACAGACCCTGAATTCCAACGAAGCCCCAGGTTCTGATCTTATATGCGCAGACTTGATCAAGAGGAACCTCGAGTGGTGGGTTCCAGTTCTTGCTACTTTATTTACAACTATAGACTTGAAAGGTTTATTACTCCTGCTCCAAATCTAATTGGGAAAACTGAGTCTATAATCCTAACTATAATGGGCTAAAAATTTAATTTATAGACTCCGGGAGTAAATGGTAATGAAATGGGATTAATAGTTTGAGAAGTTGTTAGAACCTTGCTTTGAGAGAATAATGTTGATTCTGAATGGTGACTTGAAAATTAACCTGTAATATCAATTTGAATAATTTGTAAAACTAACTTGAACAAAATGTGTAGCTAAACAAAATGGGAAGTTAAATCTTAAAATATGGCTCTATCAGATGTGCGTGTTCACCGGTGAAATGTTATAAATATTATTGTTGTTGTTTTTCTTTGCCTGGCTATGTTACTATATAGAAAATTTCTAGTCTAGGGCTCCGGTCACATGGGCAGGAAACTGCAGGGGGGAAGCGTGGCTGTTTGCCCCGGGGCAAACTAACACGCGGTTAAGAGATCAGACCTCCTGTGGAGGTTCCGTGGGTAGGGAGAGGTGCCGATCACAGGACACGCCTGCGCGCAACGAAGAAGCGTGCGGTGCGGCAAACTGGTTTTCTTTTTTTGTGTACACGACGAATGCGCATGCTCCATTGGGTGCGTGTGCGCATCCACGGAGACTTGGGGGGGAAAGCCTTTTTCGCAAGGGGACATGGGCGAGCGCCGGATGCCACCAGAAACGCGATCAGACGCCCGCCCTTGCCTCGCGGTTTCCGGAAACTAGTACCTCCGCGGTACTAGTTTTTTGCTGCGTGTTTTCGGCAGGAAGCCTTGGTTGTGCCACGGAAGCGCTACGCTTCCCAGATGTGCCGGTGAGATCGCGCCCGGAAAATCCGCCTGTCTTCTGTCTCTCTTGCGTGGCTAATATTCCGTGTGACCGCAGCCTAGGTTTGTAAGTTTGTTTGTGTCTTTGGTCTATATGTTTGTGGTGTATGTGTTTATTATCTCTGAAAATCTAATAAATATATTATTTAAAAAAACCCAATTAAAACAATCATGAATAGTTACTAAGAACTTATTTTATGTAAATTTCTATGCAAATAACTTAAATTACTAAGACCTTACAAAGATTTTTAATAATGATACCTAAGACTTTTACAATACATGTAATTCTTCTATATTGAATAAAAGGCTTAGGTCAAATACCAGTCCATATAGTCACTCTGAACTTCCAATTGTCAACTTCTTCATCCGTTCAAAGTTCTGTGTGACAATCCCTCCTATTTGTGTTGTAAGCATCAGTCAAAGACACATTCTTTCTCCACTTTTATTAATAGCACATCTGCGGCTCCGCATCAACGTGATGGCTCGAAAACTCATTTCCATTCTTCTTCAGGGCAAATTCTGCAGCAGTGAAAAGTATAATCCTAACATTAGAACACAAGGAAAGCCCAATACCCGCCTCCTTCTTTGTTGTTACTCACAGCAATCTCGTAGATCCTCTGTTTGACAATTCAGTAAACTCCGCTCTGTGAAGTGCTTTCAAAACAGGTGGCCAGCTAACTTGTGGAAATTCTGATCTCGTCAGTAGTTTTCAGACTTAGTAAAGCTCCCATTCTTATCAGTCTTACAGTATTAATTGGGTGCAGGTGTTAGGCTTTCCAAATCATCTTTAAAGTACCCGCAGTGCTCCCTCTAAGGTGTGAAGTCTTGTGAGCAAGAATTCTACTTTGTGAGCTACTGGCATTAAAGTTGTGAGCAAGCAATTTGGCTATTGCATAAATTAGTTTGCTCTGTAGCCATCCTTCCTGAGCTAAGACAAAACTTTGTGAACCGGAGACTAAAAAACTGTGAGCTAGCTCATACTAACTCAGCTTAGAGGCAACAAGAGATCCATTAAGCACTTTACACTCACAATTCATAGGATTCCAGTCAGTGATTTTTATGCTGTTTATTCTGTTCTTAGTCTAATAATTTTGTTGCTTTAAGAGCATGTGTAAGACCTCTTCAAAATGTTATTGAAAGTTCAGGAATTAAATAATACATACAGGTTCTTGTTCCAGCAAAGAGATTAACTTGTAAGACACAATTTCCCATTTATCAAACTGTTAAAAGGGCAGTTAGAAATCTCACCATTAAGTAAACTGTTCTATGTTATCATTCAGATTATTTAAAAATTGTTTATTTTTTGCTCTCAGGGAGCCATCCAAGGTCCAGAAGAATTTGTAGAAGGAATGGCACTGGGACTTAAAGCCCTAGTTGGCGGTGCTGTTGGTAAGTAGTGATTTGGTTTAAGCTTGGATAAAATGTACCAGGTAATTTTCACAAGGTCATGTTTAGTCTTTACATTTAAAAAAAAAAACAATCTCTTATGGTAATAGGGGGATTGGCTGGTGCTGCCTCAAGAATAACTGGTGCTATGGCTAAAGGTGTAGCAGCAATAACTATGGATGAAGACTATCAGCAGAAGAGAAGGGAAGCCATGAATAGGCAACCTACTGGCCTCAAAGAGGGTATTACACGTGGAGGAAAAGGCTTGATGTCTGTAAGAAATACTATACATTATATATTGAACTTTTAAAACTAGATGCATGTATTAACTATGCTAGGTTTGTTATCATTTTTTCGCACAGCTTCTCAGTAGTGACTAGGAAGAGTGATACCTTATGCATAAAGAGTATAAGTGGAATTAGTCTTAATTGTTCTATATGAAGCAGTTTTTATTTTTACAAATTCAAATTATTAGGTTTATAATATTAACTCACACAGAGAATACTTAAAGAATGCTTTCTGTTAATTTATTCTTTGTAATTTGGAACCGTTTTCTTTTTGTAAGGGTTTTGGGTCCCTATGTTCCCTCTGGGGAGAAAAGCAGCCTAAAAATGCTTAGTAAAAATGCTTCATTTTAGAAACAAAAGTATAAGGTTTCTTTCTGGTTTTGACTCACAGGGATTTGTTAGTGGAATAACAGGGATTGTAACAAAACCAATAAGAGGTATGTTCATTTTTTTCTTGATATCTTATTGTGTATCTGAACTGTTTGCTGAGAGATGATTACTAAAATCAAATAAAATAATAAGCTGTTCCTGCATATATGGAACAATAAATCCACAGTTTGGGCCCAAGTATGTAGAAGTGAGATCTTTTTGTAAACTTGAGGGGAAACCCAAGTTTGTGGGGGGAAATGGTTTAAAGATGAGAGAATGAGGGGACTTTTACTTAAAATCTCACCTTACTGGCCACCATTGTGACAGTTGCTTAGCAACCCATAATCAGCCAGCTGGCCAGAGTAAAGAGCGGAGGAGATACTGCCGCTGCATGAGCTAGGCAAGCAAGTGAGGGACAGACAGAGGAAAAAAGATGAGCAAGGAAGCACAGATGGAAGGAGCAGAAAGGAAAAGGGAGGAGCACTGGGCAGTAGAGGCAGCAAGAATGTAAGCAGTGCAAATGAGTAAGTCAGAAAGCAGGAGCAGAGGTAGAGAAAGGCAGGGGGGAAGGGGGCAGGGCAGTGGTGGTCATGGGATTTCTCACAGGTTCCCACTTATACACATATACACCATCCTCCCTGAGACCAAAGACTTCCTAAGTAAGAAAGTCTGGCTTAGGGAGTCTTCAAACTAGATGAAATTCATTGTGATGTCCAAATTGAAATGCTATAGCAAATGGTTGTGTTAATGTGTGTGTGCTGTGGTCCTCCCCCACTCACAGGAGCCCAGAAAGAAGGTGCAGCAGGCTTTTTCAAAGGTGTTGGCAAAGGTTTAGTGGGAGCAGTGGCAAGACCCACTGGGGGAATAATAGACATGGCTAGCAGCACCCTTCAGGTAATTAAAAGGTAAGAATGCACTGAGTATGAAGACCCATACTCTTACAAAAAGTTCAGACTCTGTATATATGTCTTCAGTAATGTGAATACAGCAGTAGGGATGGGCATGAACCAGTTGATGAACCAAAAGTTTGTCATGACGTTAGACCAATTTGGAGTTCACAAACGAAGATTAGTGAACTGAGAACCACAGTGAACTTCTTCAAAATTTGGGGGGCAGTTCATGGTGGTTTGTGACCCTTTGTGAAGAGCAGAACACAGGGATTAACTCCTGCATTCTGCTTTTCACGACAAACCGCTGAGGGGCTGGGAGCTCCCCACCACTCAGCTATTTGGTTTAAATGGCTCAGAGCCATTTAAACCAGCAAATGACAGGCAGGGAGAGCTCTACCTGCCTTCTTAGCTGCAGGCTCCCTTGTGCAGCCTGATTTAGGAGGGAGCCCAAGACAGCAGAGCCAGATCCATGGTAGAAAGTGCTCTCCCCACCAGTTCAGCGGTCTTGGGCTCTTTCCTGCAGCCCCTTTAAACTGAACTGCATGAGGGACCCCATTTAAAGGAGCTATGCCAGGGAGCCAGCAGCTGCCTCTGGCTCCCTGGAATTATCCCTTTAAACGGGCTGCGCCAGCCATGAAAAAAGGAGGCAAGGTTGCCAGGGAACAAGTATCCCATCTCCTTCTCTGGCCATGCAGCCAGGAGAAGGGGGGGAATCTCCCAAAAGAAAGTGGGGGGTCTCCCACTTTCTCCTGGCTACAGTGAGCAGCACCAGAAGAATGTGTGCGGGGGATGTCCCAGGAGAAAGTGGATCTCCCTGCCAGCAGGGAGAACCTTCTCTGCAAGGGCTCAGCTGTTTTAGGCTCGCTGGCACAGCCCGTTTAAAGGGGCTGTGCCAGGGGGGCAGAGGTAGCTGCCTCTTCTCTGGCGATCCCATCTCCCTTTCTCCTGGCTGACACAGCCTGTTTAAAGGGGCTATACCAGAGAGCCAGAGGCAGCTGCCAGCTCCCTGGCATAGCCCCTTTAAATGGGCTGTGCAAGCAAGCCCGAAACAACGGGGCCATCGCAGAAAAGGCTCTCCGCACTATCTCAGCTGCCTTTAGCTCCCTGGTGTAGCCCCTTAAACGGGCTCCCTCTTCCAGGTTATTTTAAAGGGACAAATAAAATAAGCTCACTGAAGAAAACAGACTTTCATAGGATTAACAAGCAGTTTCGGATATATTTATTTATTTATTTATTTATTTATATTTACATTTATACTCCGCCCACCTTGTAAACAGGCTCTGGGCGGCTTACAGAAGATGGTCTACGGGCCAATACAAATAAAACAATACAAATATTAAAATCCCTTAAAAACAATCTTAACAGTAAAGTTCTCACTACATCAGAGTAACCTTAAGATGAATGGCTTGTATCTGCATTCCTTCTGTCTTCAAGTTTTAAGATCAGTCCCACAGTCCAGATGTTTGCCGGTGAGGCTCAGAGTGGGCCAGTCCGATATTCCGGATTGATGGTAACTGTGGTGGTGGCTCCTATTTGAACGCCTGGCGGAAGAGCTCCATCTTGCACGCCCTGTGGAACTGTGAGAGGTCCCACAGGGCCCTGATCTCATCTGGGAGCTCATTCCTCCAGTAAGGATTCTATCTCTGTGTTGGTGTTCATCAGCAATCTCTTGACAGAACACTGCAGGAATGACAGTAATGTGGATCAACACAACATGTCTCTAATGTCATAGAACAGTGGTTTTCTTCAGTGAGCTTGTTTTATTTTTCCCATTGTATTCACACTGAAGCCTGTCTTGTTTTTGATGGTTTAACGGGACTGCAGGAGGGAGTCCAAGACTGCTGAGCTGGCAAGGAGAGAGGGAGATGGGAAGCCTCTTCCCCAGCAATCCTTTCTTCTTTTCTCCTGGAGAATGGGAGATGGGAAACCTCTTCCCAGGAAAGCCTGTCTCCTTTTCTCCTGGCAGCATTGCCAGGAGAGAGGGAGATGGGAAGCACCTTCCCAGGCAGTCCCGTCTCCCTTTCTCCTGGTCAGGGTGAGCCTTGGCTGGGAGAAAGGTGGAAGGGAGTCCCTTCCAGGGCAATTCCCCTATGCCTTTCTCCTGGCTAGGTTGAGCCATGGCTGGGAGAAAGGTGGAAGAAAATCCATTCCAGGGCCATTCCCCTCTCCCTTTTTCCTGGCCAAGGCAAGCTGTGGCCAGGAGAATGGTGGAAGGGGGTCCTTTCCAGGATGATCCCCACCCTCTTTCTCCCGGCCACGGTGAGCCATGGCAGGAGAAAGGGGGAAGGGAAATCCTTTCCAAGGCGTTCCCTGCCCCCTTTTTCAGCCAGGAGAAACAGGAAACTGAACTTCTCGGGCTGGTTTGGTTCAAGTGAGGCCTGTTTGACTCGGTTCGGGGTTCGGTTCAGGGGCTGCCCCAAACCCCCAAACAAAATGAAGCACCTTTTTTAAGTTCATGCACATCCCTATGCCTAGCTTATTTAGGGTTGCCAAGTCAGCATGACTCACTGGCGGGGGAGCGTTGCTTCTGTCCAGGAGCTGCCGAGGGACGCGTGTCACAGGAAGTGACGCACGATGTAGAGCACGTTGGGGGCGTGGCCCAGATCGTCGGGGGGAAACCCCCACTCCTCCACTTGCACCTGGCTGGATGACCTTGGGCAAGCCATTTTTCTGGGACAGCAGTTCTTGAAAAAGAGCAGTTTCTGTCAGAGCTCTCTCAGCCTCACCTACCTCATGGGGTGTCTGTTGTGGGGAGGGGAAGGGGAAATGAGTTTGTAAGCCGCTCTGAGACACCTTTGGGTAGTGAAGGGCGGGGTATAAATCCAATCTCCTCCTCCTCTTCTTCTTCTTCTTCTATATTTGTAGGAGTCCAGCACACATGTGTATCTAGGGTTGTTAAAAAAAATACAGAGGGATAATATTTCAGTTCAGTTATGTGTTTTTAATATACTGTAAGCTTCTATTTCAATTTTTACTCTTTATAGATATACAAATGAAACCAGGCACTGGTACCTGGATAAATGTGGGTTTTGTATGTGTTGGCTGTAACATGAGAAATACTCAGTGCCATGGAAAATCAAATGTACAGTGTGCACAGATTGTACACATGTTCAGTGTTCAGTTGTTATCTGTACAGTGTAGAAGTAGAATCCCTTGCTGGGGAAAAGGTAAAAAACCAAAACCCTTCACACAGATGCATTTGAGGAAAGCTCATGGAAATAAACGGAACCTCATAAATGTACTTTTATTATACAATTCAGCCTAGATGCACAGTCCAGAATTCTTGAAACACAGGGTTTCTGCACAAATGATTTGGGGCTTGAAAGAGTTAGAGCTGTGTCCCAGGTGTTCCTGACTCAGTGGAAAATTCCTTTTGCACACAGGAGTTATCTATGCTGCAGATCCTGTGTATATAATAACTTTAACGGGTAGTATTTTAAAAAAATGAAGACCAACAATCAGTATTAGAAAGGCAGCCTAGCTGTTTAAAGTTTCTCTGTACTGACTGGTAGAAATTGGAGAGAGGACATGAAAGTACAGTACAGTGTAAAGCTTTTACCTTTTTTTCCAGAGCTACAAATTCTTCCGAAGATATCATGAGTCTGCGTCCTCCCCGCTTTTTCAATGAAGATGGAGTTATTCGACCATACAGACTAAGAGATGGTGCTGGAAGTCAAATGTTACAGGTGAAGGAAGTAATATCACAAGAACAAGTGATACAATAATCATCAGTTATTTCTTTGAATAGATCTTTATTTCTCTACAGTTAGGAATGTTTTAATACTGTTTAGGTTTTCTGGAATGTTTAAATTAGTTGTAACCACTTTTGCATTTACTTTACATGAGTATGATACCAGATCTGCCTGTTTGTTGAATAGAGTAAAAACAGTGGGCTGTATACAGCTCAAAATTTTCTCTGACAGAAAGGGAAAGGCAATTTTTGCTTATTTCTTGCCTCTTGCTGCAGACCTTTGACTCCCTCCTAATTCTACTCCTGGGTTCCCCTGTCCCCCAGCAGCATTATGGGGGGCTTTGGAGCTGTAGAGGAACAAGGATGGCCAGGAAGTCCCAAGATTTACTATGGGAGCCAAGCCCATGTTTTTTAGGTTTGCTCACTTAGGAAAACTTTAATCAGCATTGATTCATTATCCAAATTTAGATAAGATTTCCTCAATCTGCACAAAGCAGCGTATATATTTTGCATACTGGAGGCAGACTGAATTATTGCTTTAATTTTTATGTTGGAAATATGGGCTAAATAATAGATCTATTTCAGATCTGTTGAAAGTTCTTAGTATTTCAGGAATTTTAAAAATTCAGCTATATGTGTATACAAATATTTTTAGTATTATTTTTATTTTGAAGGTATATAAAACATTTCAGCATTGTTTCTGATTTCACCTGTGTGTTGGACTTTCAATATAGACTGCAATCAGTTTTAAAATTTGCACTTGTTGATAATTTAAACATGCTTGCAGTTAGGTATGAATCATCTAGAGGTTTTATTTACTGAAATTCTACTTTTTCATGAAAATCATATATTTGAGAAATAGACACAATAAGGAGATGTAAGTGGGCCAACAGATATTAGATTTTTCTGAGGTAAAAGCAATAATTAACTTATCTGAGAATGTTTTCTGATGCCTTAATCTTATGAAAGACCAAAAAACCTTAATAATTACAAAAACAACAAAAGCAAAAAACAAAACAAAATGAAGATAGATGTGCTTAAACCAAATATTTTTCTCAAATGCTTTTTTATTAATAATGGTTTTGAATTTAAAAATTAATGTTAAGATGTTTCTTAGTCTTCTCCATTGCTTAGTCTTCTGTATTGTTGACCAGGATTTATCTGGAACAATTTAAAAAATCCCATAAATATTGCTGTAGATTGTCTCTTAGGGCTAACTATCTTAAGATAATCTACCCTTTTGTCAAGAGCTCTGTTTCCATTTCTGGTAATTGAATTTTAGTCTACAGTTTCTAGTAAACTTTTTTTTTCTTTTTGTATGTCCCCTTAAATGCAGACTGAATTTTGAATTTGATATGAATGAAATATACAAGTTAACATGAGAGTGTATAGTTACTGTTTTTCTTCTTTAAGAATCCAGAACAAATATTTTAATGGAGAACAATTAATAAAACTTATACTAGTATTAAGCCTGTTTGTAATAATACCACAAAGCTTTAGACAATGACACTCAGCAGTGAAAAGTTGGAATTGGATATTTGCCAGAGCAATTGTATAACTGCTTCATCATCTGTCAAGAACGGAACAAACCACAATAATTTCCTACTTCAGTATTTAGATATTGTTATGCAAATCATATTAGACACATATGTTAGTGTAGAATTGGCTCCAATAATAATTTTTAGAGTACTGGGTTAAACGATCTATGCTTAGAGAAAGGTTTCCATGAAAAAGGTAACCAAATGTTAGACAGGAAAAACTGCATTTAAACACTGGCTTGTGGTTTTTGACCAAGCAGGTATGGGAATAAAACAGTACAGTCAAGCAGAATAGCATATGTTGTGTTCTTAGTGTAGCTCAGCCGTGTAGAACTGGGGAAGAGGACACTTGGACTCAGTCTAGGCAACTCTTTATTGTCAGACATGTGATTAGGACTAGAAGCTTCTGCTCTTTGGATGGCTAGAGCTGACTGTTTACACTGCAGAATTCACTTACAGTTTTTTCTGGTGATCTTGCAGCCAGTTGGTGATATGGTCAGTCAACAAGGCTACAGATATCTACCTCACAATACAGTATATGCACAGTATATTGCATGTTCTGTGTAGTAATCGTAGAAAGGATGACAAACCAGTCATTATAAATGAGTGGAGTACATGAGCCTAGGAGTTTGCATGTAGTTTTCTGTTGTGCTTATTGTTTGGAACAAGACCATAGTACTCAGAAAATGGTCATTTTTTTGTACTTTAATGACCTCCAATATGTTGTTGTTCATATAGCTTAAATGAATTCACTGGTGTCTTTAAGACTGATGGACTTGGATAGGTTTGTGGACATTGGGCTCAGAGGTATCACAGCTATTGTTGTAGGAACAGAAAGACTTGCAAAAAATTTTAAAGTTACTATTTATTAACCAAATTGATGAGTCAATGAGAATGTGAAACTGTTTCAAATGTAAAGCAGTCAGTCACATAGAAAAAGGTTCATAAATACATTCCTCTGTTCTAGTGGAATATGGGTGACTCCACTCTACTAACATTAGAGCTTTTGGCAGAAGGCTGCTTGAGCCAGAGGAAAGTGCCAGTATTAGCATAAAGGAGTCTTGGGATACAACCATAAAATTTTTAGAAATTTATTATCCATATGTCTGCATCATTTTCCAAAGACAAATATAACAATTTTCATACATTCTTATCACTTACAAAGTTGAAAAAAATAGTGTTGCAGTTGGTTCAGATGTATTTACAAATCTGAAATAGATAATGTCCAACTGGTTACTGTAGTCCTGCAATTTATGATGAGTAAGGAACATTCATTGTGTGTGTTCTTCTGTCTCTCGTGAGTTTCCTCTGGATTCCAAGGAAGAAAGTAGACCTGTGGAATATATTCTTGCCACGTACAATATTTCTCAAATTAATCTACAGTTTGTTTAAAGTAGGACATGCAATTAGAGTAGATGTTGTCCAGTGTAGCCATGAATCGACAGTGGGTCTTTGAACAGCTATATGGGCAGGGATGTAGAACAAATAAATCTGAAATAATGTTGGTGTGTGTTGTAATGCAGGATAACTGCACTAACTGGAGTTCTGCATGCTGCAATTCAAAAGTTACATTTCATCTTTCATTTTTAGTTCCTGTTTGCGTTTAAAAAAACAACTAACTAAACTTGCCAGCTTCAACTAACCCTTCTGCTTCTTTCTTCTCTTACCATGCTTGCAGAAAAGACAGGCCTACCGAAAATGGACCATGTGTCATATTAGTGGTAGTGACGATGATAGTTAGAGTTACATGTGCTTTCTGTGTTGAATTCAGTTGAATGTTGCTAGTGCTTTGTGACTGTGACAGGCACATAAAAATTAAAATTACAGTAACTGTTATAAAATTGTGTTTTTAAATATAGGTTTAAAAGTAAACACCAATGACAGTTATGGACAAATAGAAAGAAAATTGTTATTTAAATTGTTTTTGTTTGAACAGTACTAAATTATATGATCATAACCTTGTGACAGTGACTTTTTCAGTCAGATGTCTGTAATGTTCTTAAATAGTATATTTTTGTTTACATTATTTTAACTTTATGCTTTAAATTTTAAAGTAATTTGTGTACTTTTATAGACATTTTAGATATAAATACATATTCAGTGTTACCTTATATGTAGGTTTGTGTTTATTAATGTTAAATTTTAGATCCCTTTTAGGTATTTGAAATTATTGTCTGAATTTTCTGTAATAACAATAAATGAGTCTGTATAAGAAAATATTGATCTGTTGAAATATTCCATCATTTCTTACATAATTTTTCAAGATTCTTTTTTAAAAGCTTGTTTTATCAAAATTTATTTTAAAAGGAACATTTATGTTTTGCATCGTTTCATCCTTGACAGCATAGTTTAACATTTTAAAATTATTATCATTTGGTTTAAATGTCTTGTGAAATGGGGGTGGAATATGGGCATTTTAATCTACCTCTCTAGTTCAGTGGACAACCCTAGAACTTTGTATGTAGGTTGTCTTTTGAGTTCTAGAGGAGAGGGTGTAACTGTTAGAATTCCTGCATGCTGTTAAATATTTGTTTGGTAGACTAGAGCCAGAGCTATAGGAAAAATCAATTTTTCTCCAAGCCAGTTTGGCCAGGGATCCTGCAGGGGTTTTTTTTTGCCATCTTCTGGGCATGGAGCAAGGGTCACTGGGAGTGGGGGGAGGTATTTGTGTATTTCCTGCATTGTGCAGGGGTTTGGAATAGATGATCCTGGAAGTCCCTTCCAACTCTATGATCTAATGATCTTTTTTGAAATTTAAATATTTTATTTAATCATATTTATTTATTTCATACCCTGCCCGCCGAGGCATGCTCATATAATATTACAGCCTTTCAATAGAACAGAGTAGAAGCATACAAAATTGAAATATTGAACAGTATAATAAAGATACAAACCATCAGTAAAATTGAGTGTGAACAACTAAACACATTGATCTAGAAACACAAATGCAGGTCTGAGAAGTTCATTGAACAAGACAGATTTACACCAGCAGTGGAACAGTGTGTTAGACTAAGGAATAGATACAATCTATTCAGTGTGAGCAGAGAAGAGAGAGTTGGCTTTTACTTAAAACACAGCAATCATTTGAGAGATCAGACCAACACTTGAGCATTAGAGGTTCCCATTTCTCTAGGAGACTGGATTGGCCTGAGGTATCTCTAAATTTATCCAGGATGAATAAATCTCATAACTTCAAGCACCATTCTTGCAGCGATGGAATTGATGCAGACTTCCAATGAGATGCAATAAGACATTTAGCCGCAATTAACATTGTCATAATTAGTTCTTGTATTGCTTTGGAGATTTTGCAATTTCCCCACAGATTGAGAAGAATTAATTCTGGGGATAGGGGAATCAAATGACCAGTGATTATATTGATTTGGTTTTCAATTTAAGTCCAAAATTTTCCTATCAGTTTACAGGACCACCAACCATGATAAAAAGTCCTTCAATCCCC